AATAAAACAATATTAATGTAACAGTAATATGAAATGATACATTAAAATATTAAATGATTACAAATCATTCTTCCATGTTTAAAACCAACACGGTCTCACCCCTATTCGTCACATACTGCCGTTTGGTAATTTCCCCTCACGTCCATAAGCCGACGTTGAAGGTACCCCCTATTCGTCGCTTGACAACGTAGAGGGTCGTGCGATATTTGAGTGCAAATCCCTCATCTTTGGATTTTGACGAAATGGGGTTATCCATCCAGCGGTTTGCCTGCGCTGGAAAGTATGGTTTCAGGCGATTAATTTTATGCTGCAAATGTGTATTTTGCAGTAGCGTGCGGCGCATATAGCCTACTGTTACAATCATTGGTGCGGTCCTCTACGTTGTCAAGCGACGAATAGGGGGTACCCTTCAACGTCGGCTTATGGATGTGAGGGGGAAATTACCAAACGGCAGTATGTGACGAATAGGGGTGAGACCGTGTTGTTAAAACATGCCTTGATTATTTGTAGCTAGATTTATAGTATCATTCCACTAGCACTAAACTTCTCGTGTCTGCAACAACATTTAGTCTCAGATCCATTTTTGCATGTAGTTTAATTTTATTCACAGACAATATTAAGATATCGATTGAATCTGGTGAATAATATCAGATGGCACTTGTGATGATGATGATGATGATGATGGTGATGAAGGTGAACGCTGCTCTGGTGAAGCAGATGGAAGCAGGGCAGTAGAAGAGCTCATGTTTCTTCAGCTCAGTTGCTGTGAGGCTCTTTTATTAGCGCTGATAGCATCCGAGCATTGTTTGCATATTACTGGGGCATTATTTCATGCTTGCCTGCCTCTTTTATCAACTGCTTCTCAAGTAATCTTAATAGACTAGAACATTGAGACATTTATGAAGTATAGGCAGTGTTTATGAAAAAATCCATAAAATATGACAAGGGCGAGGTGAGATAAAAGCGTCGCTTTAATAGATTATGGTGAAGGGAGATCCTCCTCCTCAGAGACGCCGCTCGTTTAGCTGTGCTACTAACTAACTAACTTAACTGCTCTAATTAATCTGGACACAACACACCTCCTGCATCTGCTAAATGAAGCGGCTTCCACGCAAAACATTTCTGATTATTATCAATGTTCAAAACAGTTGTGTTGCCAAATATTCTTGTGGAAAATAAATAAGGTAAAAAAAAAATTGTGTTCATCAAGGATGCATTAAATTGATCAAAAGTGACAGTAAAGATACATTTTCAAATAAGTTCTGTTCTTTTGAACTTTCTATTCATCTGTGAATCCTGAAATATAAAATGTATCACAGTTTCCACAGAAATATTGTGCAGCACGACTGTGTTCAACATTGATAATAATCAGAAATGTTTCTTGAGCAGCAAATCAGCATATTAATACACTCAATTAAATTCAGTGAAGAACAGTATATGCATCTTCAGAATTAAAAAAAAAGTAAAAAAAACATTTTTAATTAAATGTATTTTTCAATATTTATTTAATACTTAATATTTTTTTAACTCTAGTGTCTTCTCAGCAGGGTTATTACAGTTAAACTACAAAACCATAAAAAAGTTACTTGAAATAAAATGTTAACTTAAAAAAAATACAACTTTTCATTAATATAAATATTTAAAAAAATCTCATTTGAATTTAGTTTAACTTGGTGTGTTAAAATAACTCAAATTAAAACTGAAATAAAAATGAATAAAAAATATAGATATATCAAGAAAAAAAAGTTAACTAATAAAAACGGCGAGCTATTTTAAATTGCATTATTTTACTGTATTTTTTATCAAATAAATGCAACTTCAGTGAGCAGAAAAACTTCAATGACTCCAAACTCTGAGCGGCGGTGAATGCATCAGATATAAAAGCATCCGGCCTGAAGCATCACAGGACTGAGCTCATAGATCTGCTGTTAATCAGAGGAGTGTGTTCATTCATGGCTCGTTATCTGAGCGCCAGACGCAGCTGTCCCTCCACATTCATTCATGAGCACAGATTACAGGCAGGGATGCTGGAGAATCCAGTTTTAATCGGTTAGCCCGCTTTAAGAAGATTATTGCAATGTTCCCGCAGCAGAGGCTCTCTTCGACGCTAATTGTGGGCATCGGATTCTGATATTTCCCAATGCAAATCCAATTGCGAGGCCGCGCGAGGAATAAAGCGACCCTCCCCACAGAGTGGGCGTATTCCCAAAACTGGGACTAACAGGACTGCATGATGCAGGCGGATGTTAAATTGGATTATTAAAGCGTGCAGCATGTGCCAGGTCCCAGGGTAGTGTGTGGATCATGATTTAACACAGCTCTTCTGTTTGTTTACGGATTCCATTACGATAGCTGGAGCTGCTGCCGCTCTTCCAAAGGGATTCTAGTGAGCGGGAAACATTAAATCACCAAGGTGTGCGGCGACTCTGCTGTTAACGACCACTTTGGTTAATGAAGGGTCAATAACAACCATCTGCCAACACGCCAGCTTAATCGTCCGTTATGAGAGAAAATAGAGTTTTCCGCCTTCGCTTGGAAAAACGTTTGGCTGCTTACGCCGGAAGACTCGCGATATTAGCAAGGTGTAAAATCCTCCGATCCGTCCTAATGTAACGTCTGATATCACGTGATCATAGCTGTTATGCTCCAATCTTCTTGATAAAATGCAATTTGCATGAAGATCAAAATAGCAGCACAGGATCCAGTTATCTAGAAGAAGGGCGAGACGCATCTGAAGGCAGAGAATCTGTCACACGTCCAGAATTCCTCATTAAGGACACGGGACTATTATGCTAAACATGACCTCGCCGCGCGAGCTAATCAAGAGTGAAGCAGAGGAAACAGAAAACACAGCGAGCGCTTAATTTCATCTAAACGATGGCGCTCAGGGCCTGAAGCTACGCAGACGCAAAGGTTAACGAATTTACTAAACCAAATCTGATCAGGATCCTTCACATTACACAACAGAATCAACACGCTCTGGCAATTAGACGAAGAACACTCCCTGATAATGAAACACGTTTAATGTTTCACGCACAAGAGGTTCTGTGAACGCAGCGACTTCACAACATCACAACATCACATTTAAATTCAATATTATACAGATTATGCATTATCATATGAGTTTAATATGCTAAACCCTTTTCTAGCAATAGACATTATTATTAAATAAATGTATATTTGAAATCCTAGGTTACATTTTAACCAACTCAGTCTGGTCTAGCTAGTTTGGGACCAAATTTCACCATAAATTAAAAAAACTATGTTTCTTGTTTAATGTTTTGGACATTAAAATTAAATTTTATTAAATTAATTTCAATAAATAACAATATATGCATCTAAAAAGACACTTCAGAACTAAGTATAACAATTAATTAAGAATATTAATTATTAATATTCAATTAATTAAGAATATTAATTAAGGATATTTAAATATTTGTATTATTTTTTTTTTTTTAACTCTATCGTGTCTTCTCAGCAGGATTAACATAGTTAACTGAAACTATAAAACTATAAAAAAAAATTGTATTTGAAATAAATGTTAACTGAAATTAAATTAAACATTAAAAACTTGTTTTATTTTTGACTTATTTTATTACAAATCTCTCATTTTAATTGCTTAACTTGATGTACTAAAATATCTAAAATTAAAACTGAAATAAAAATTAATAAAAAAAATTTGATATATCAAGAAAAAATAACACAATCATTTTTTACTGTAAAGTCCTAGTAATTTTAATTACTAAAACTAAAAAATAAAGAAATATAAAAATAAAAACTAAATCCAAAATATGAGTCAAAGCTACAGAAGTGTCTCAGCGTCACTAAATTAACACAGTTTCTCCAACTCATGTTGTGATGCATGTGACTATTGATCTCAAAGCAGCAGCATAAAAAAGGGAAGGAGACGCGACAATAATGAAGACGCCTCAAATGTGCCGTGGCTAACTTCAGCTGTTCCCTCCTCTAAATGAAACATAGGCATGAATCAGAGATTATTCCTGGGAAAGGTAGCTGTCTGCGCGGCACAAGCACCATCAGCAGAAGCGTCTCTCGTCACAGCGAGGGGGTAATGATATCAGTATGGGGAACTGTCTACAGCGCTGCAGTTTAGCAAATGTAACACGGAAGCCTGGCTGTGGAAGTGCGAATTATATTCGAATTTAAAATGCATAATTTCAGTTAGGGTGAAGAAAAGCTTTTGGCTTCTCTCCTGAGGCCACAAGAGGGCGCATAGAGCAAAATATTACTAATGCACGTTTATTCAAAGCATACGATAACATGACTATCTGTGGAAAAAAAGTGCATAATGTTTAAATTGATGTTTATAAACCAATTATAATTAATTACGTTGCTTAAACAACTATAAACAAAACAGCATCATGTATGTATGCATAGTTTAATACAAAGGGCCGAAAGCCAATCACACAGATTACATTTTTCATTTAAAAACACGAGTTGCAGTGGGATGGGAAAACCCCGCCATAAGTCTCGAGATATGTTTTTTCAAAGTTAAACTTGCATTAATTTTGCATGGCTTTCTAAACATGCGGCTCTTTTGTGCGAGATGCGAGTGCAGCGGTGATAGATGTCCCTCTAGAAAATGCGATAAATATGCGTTCTGTGTGAACGGCTTGGTTTCAGTTTTGACGTAAACAAGCTCTTCTCCGCATTGATGTTCTCTTTTCCCGCAATATTTGTCATTAACAACACAGCAGCGCCGCATCTAGTGGCTTCAGCTGGATAGCTGATAAGGCTGCCTACTTAACGCACACCTAAAATTCAAATGCAACGTTTTTGCATTCAAATGTGGATTTTTATTTTAAATTCGACGAATATTCGAAATTCGCTTTTTTTTTTGACAGCCCTACTGTGTGCTAATTCAACACAGGTTAACATATAGAGCGATCGCAGGCGCTTCAATCATACCCACGCACAAACGTCCAGGCTTTGTTTTCTACCTTTATAAAGGACAAATGAAGCGAGTGCTCAGTACTTGCACGGCTTGACTGTAGGGCCCGATGTTGGCCGGGGCCCAGTGGGACAGACTCTGGACGTGAAGCGTGCCTCTCTGAGGAAAAGCGTCCTCCTCGCAGACCACCGTCCCGTCGTGAAGCAGAACGTCCATCCGCAGCTGCTGAGAGACCAGGAGCCACACCTGAACACAGACCCTGCATCACACAATAACACAGCTGCTGACGGGTTTGTTGATTAGCAACCAGCGTTGTACTGTTTAGAGTTGCACGATGAATCGTGATCATAATTACTGCTTCTTTCCATTTACTGAGCATAATAGTCTGCAATATTTGCCCAATGATTATTTATCCTATAACAATTCATTTGCCATTTGCGCAATTTTGGGTTTCATTGGGTAGCGGTTGCCAGATTAAATCCCCCAATCAGAGCCGTTTTCATACATTTTTGCTCAGTGGTTTACTAAATCCTCCCAACATGGCAACCATTCGCACACACTTTCTCTACAAGCACTGATAAGACGAGAAATTCAAATGACAGTAATCATGATTATCGTGATTGTATTTTTGAGCAAAATAATCATGCTTAAATGTTTAGTATTGTTCTAATGTCGGTCGTGTGTGTCAATGAACAATGTGTCTCTGCACTCAGATCTACCTGTGCATTTGTTTATCAGATGATGTAAAACATGTCAAGTTTTTGGCAAACACGCCACAGCTCGGTTTCTCTGTTTTCTCGTCATCTAGCACCAATTTAAAAAATGTTTTGGGATTTGACTACATAAACAGCAGTATGAATGATTGAACAGAAGACAAAACAAGCTTTAGAATAAGCTAAAACGACTTAAAATCTAAATACTTCTAATTTTAATTCAACTCTTCAACCGATGCTTTTGTCTTTGAAGAGCCAGGATTCACAAGGGCTTGAGAAACCTGGCTATATGAGGAAGCCTCGATTTATAAGCAACACTCATTTCTCAACTGGAATGTTATATCAGAATTATTAATAATGTTTTTGTCCTTCTAGATTATGAAATGCCTGCTGACAGCGCAGTTTATCTTTACACAGAACTATACTCAAACTGCGATCGCTCACGGAGATAATAATTAATGAACAGCAATATGAAAGCGGCTTCACGAGACTAATTATGAGCAAATATACAACAGAGAGAGAAGTAAATTCAGCGCTTTTATTTCCAACATGCGCTCATTCATGGCTCTATTATTTAACTCATGCAAAGTTATGTCTTTATTGGGACAGGACTTGACGGGTTATTTTACATGACTCCATGATTTGGTCTCTATTTCTTAGAGCCAAGCTGCATAAACTACATATCAGGCATTTATGTAATGCATCTAATTTGTGCATAAATGGCTGTTATGTTAAATAAAGTTTACTAACTACAGCAAATCAAGTACCTGCACCGTGCCGTTGTTGTTGTCTCGTCTCCCCTCAGATGCGCTGCAATGGCGATCCTGCACGCAATTCTCAAAACGTTTATCGGTGAATCCGATATTACAAAACCGATATCCGATTATGGTAAAATGCTTAAATATCGGGAAAAATATCGGAAAATCGATATATCGGTCGATCTCTAATTGTAACCACTCTAAGTTCGTCTGCCTTGGGAAAGCTAGCGTGTCTCCGACATAGTGATAACACTCGTTGCCTTCTCTAGTGCAGCTCAACCAGGTCTCGTCCCATTCGTCGGTATTTGTGATATCACAAATCCCGGAAAATATGCGTTGTAGTCCAAACGAGTCATTCGTTGTAGTTTTTGAACAAAGATTTCTGTTAAATAAAATATCTCCTTTTGAATTGGACTTTGAGCTTTGTAACTTTGCAGATCTTTTTTATGCTCAAACAGCAACATTACAGACTGACTAAAGTTGAAAAAGTGAAAAGCATAATAGGACCCCTTTAATGTTTTATACTTTCCAAAAATGCAACAATGAATAGATAAGTATTAAGATGTGTTATATCTGTGGGTACAATTATTTACGAGATCATACACAATGTGCATTACAAAGCATAAATAATGCATTCAAATACTTTTATAAAGCATTATGTATAACGGTTTCAAGTAAAGCGTTCCCTAAAATTCTTATCCAGTAAGTCATGTACACTTTTTAAATTTTTCTACTGCACAGACAGATACATTTCACTAAAAGCCCATCGTGTGAGCAGTGAATCGCAGTCGGAGGCGTCGTTACCTGGCTGGAGGATTTTGAGTGAAGTAGGTGCAGTACACGGAGTTGATCAGACTGAAGTTCTCCATGTCGCTCACGTAGAGATGAACCAGAAGCACGTGCTTCATCAGCAGACCGTTCTCCTGCAGCTGCCCTGCCAACACACACACACACATACACATGCACACACACACAAACACACACACACCGGTCAGTCAAACATAGAGCTGCTCATATCTCATTAGAGAAGTTTGCGGTTGAACTTCTAAGGATCCTCCACTCTCACCTCAGGCTCAAATCGGCGTAAACGCACAACATGAACACAGTCTGTTAAAAACACGGCACAATGGAGGAGCCGGAGCAGCCCTACAGCCCATTAGAATATCACACGCCGTCAAGTTTGTTTTCCTTCGCAGGCGTTTGCGTTTCAGCGCACAAGAAAGCCACTCATTAAATATTAACTTGTTTAATATTGTCTAAGCGCTGTGAAGGCTGTTTGGCGATGCAAGACGAAAGACATTAAATATGCTTTTCATCTCTTGCTTAAGATTTTTCTCTTTGCTCTTACAGGCCTCTCTTTAAAAGTTCTGCGAGCGATAGAAATGGCCAGAGAGGCGCTTTCGTTCTCCGGCTTTAATTTGAAGTGTCTGTCCTCGCCGTGACGGATGGAGTGCCTCCAAACGAGCCGTGTGAAGAAAAGAGCGGCCGCTGAATAAAGAGCCTCGCCTCACCTCTTAAAAGTGCATTTTGCCAGCACAACAAGAGGGAAAATGAAAGCGTGTTTGGAACAAAGGCCTATTTGCTGTCAGCGTTTGATGGGCTGAACTGCACACGAGCGGCCAGAAGCAGCGGTCGACATTCTTCATTATTTCTTCACAGTCGTCAGGGTAAAAACAGCACAACACATCTGAGACGACACCGAACGTGTGCGTATATGCTGTGATCTCGCAGAAAGAGAGAAAAGAGAGCAATTTTCCTACTTTGCAGGAGTGTGAAGACGTGCCGGGTTTGGCTCTGGACGTCTGGGTGTTCGGATTGAAGCGCTGTTAGACCGGATATCCACTGGTAACCTGATGAACTCCTGGACGAGTGTGACGGCAGACAACCTTTAACACACACACACACACACACACACACACACACACACACATCAGCATCTAGTGCCTGACATTACAAACGAGTAATGAGTACTGCGAAAGAGAGCTGATATCAACTACAATTGCAAAATCAACCAATCAAGTGGTCAGGGGTGAATTTAAAGACGCTGCTCCTCTGAGACTGTCGATGCCAGCACACTAATCACAGCAGCACTGCTAAAAACACTGACTGACTAGTAGACGTTTGTTGTGTTTGATTCACCGTCAACAACTGTTTTCATCTTTAAAGAACCAGGATTCTCACGGTCTTAAAAAACCTGGATATACCAGGAAGATTCATTTGAAAAGACCTGGAAAAATTAACGTAAATCAATACAATATTATAACTCCACTGGCATTTTTATAACGAATATACAGTTTTAGACTTCTAAGATCTAAAAAAAAAAAAAAAAAAAAAAAAATTT